GTACAGAACGACTTCAGCTACTTGTCCTCAGCCCTTGGATGGTGCAGAAGGCAGCTGCCCTTCTAGGGAGAGAGAGAATTGGCTGATATTTATCGAGTTGCAGCTCAGCACAGCCTGTACCATTCTTATCAAAGAGGGGAAGGCTTTGGGCAGATGGAGGTGCATATGGGCTGTTGCATTTTAAGTCCTGCTCCCACTGCGAAATAAAGGAGCTTGATTAGCAGCAGGCTGCCTGCCCACACTATCCACTGCTGCATCCCCTCTCCCAGAAACCTTTTAGTGTTTTGCTCACCATCTGCAGAAGTTGCAGATGAGCCTTTCTGTTCTGTGTCTCTAGAGTCTACAGCCAGCAGCAGAGTCCAAATCCCCAAAGAGTTTACCTGCTTTTGCATACTGCATCCTCTCAGATCATTAATTGTGCTGAAAGGCAATGCTCTAATTAACTGTAAAATGCTTTTGTAGGAGCACTACTGTCCTGCTGCCAAACCTGAGGCAATGAGCCTGGGAGTCCTGCACTGTTTGAACTAAAAATCAGCTCCAACTCAGGGCAGTGTAAAATTTCACCTGAGTGAATGCCCTCATCTTTTTAGTGTTGGTGAGTTGACCGTGCTTGGGTGGGTCTGTAGGAAGCAACTGAGCACTGGCAGAGTTGGTGCCTAAGCTCTGTGGTGTTTTCTGTCTGGGGAGAAGTTGAAGGGAAGAATATGGCCAACAGAAAAAACTTAACTAATTATTTACTAAATATATATTTAATTTAATTTGACTATCAAACTTGTGCAATGTTACTGACATTCAAACAATTCAAGAGCTCATCTGGCTGACACAATCAAGGTGTTTGCAAGCAACGTTTCCCTTCTCTCTGACAAGGTTAGAGCTCTGGCTCAGGCAGGTCCCAAAGGCTGCTTGCTAGGGCAAGGAACTTCTGTGCAGAACACAAAAATTCTGCAGTTTGTCTGCAAAATCTTGTCTAACCAGATTTAGGAATGTCACACTTCTCTGTGGATTGCAAGCATGTTTGCTGCATGGCTGTAATGACACTCAGATGCTGGTGTTGTTGACATCAGGTTACCTTCTGCATTCCCCAACTTCTGTGTGAGCAGACTGTAATCAGGAATATGCCATCACAATAGCCAGCCTAAAGGGCTTTAAAATTAGGACCATCCACCCTGGACTGCGCATGGAGAATCCTAGGAATGCTGCAGTTGAAATTTCCCTTTTTGCAGTTCATTAACACTGACTGGCTCAGCCTGGCCCCCATGAGAGGAGTTTGGGCTTGTACACTGTTTCTCCTCTAAGCTTGTGCACTGTTTCCCAGCTCTTGTAGTTTAATATCCTCTCAGCTACCCCAGCTGGTCTCCAATCTAAAGTATTCCCTCCCATCTCCCACCATCGCAGGCAGGCCTCTTCTTCCAGGGTACAGACTGTGCTGTGCTCAACACCAAACTCTCCTCCTCCTCCTCCTCCTCACTGCCAGCTAGTGAAGCAGAAGCTCATGCCATGTTTTATGCCTGGCACATCATCCCTGGCTTGCTTCACCTGCTCATGGAGAACTCAGCGGTGAGGATTGGTTTGTGTACAGGGCTGGGGCGGGGGGCTGGGCTATTCCTGGGCCGTGCAGTGTTTTAGAGGCACCCAGGGGCTCTCAGAAGCAAGCACAATTGCAAACGTCTGTGGTGCCCCGTGGCATCCCTCGTCCCCCACCTTCTCCTCCCCCTTCATCCCTGGTGCATCTCGAGCAGCTGGAGACAAGGCTCTGAATGGGAGCTTTCCCTCCCCCCACTGCCAGGGAAGAACGTCACACATGTGTGCTCACCCCCGCACACCAGTGCATTTGGGATGTGTCCCTTAGCTCCCACAGCCAGAGGCAGCCCGTGGGAGGAGGCAGGGAGCAAGAGGAGCGCTGCTGCTTTCGTGGTCATTGTCCGGAACTGAGCGGCCACAGGCTGTTGCCCTCCACCCCAGTCAGTCCCTTCCCATCCCAGAGCAGCTGCCGTGGGATGGGAACGCACCAGGAAGATGCTGCTGCTTTTCGTCACTGGGAACCGGGAGGATGTGACATGGGGCTGTGAGGATGTGCTGCTGGGCCGGGGCCTCTCCTGCCACAGCTGCCTTCCCCAGCCTGCCTTACAAGGGCTGTGAGCCACTCCTGCTCCTCTGCCATCACTCACGTCTCACAGAGCCAGCCAGCCACCTTGGGAAGGGGTGAGCAAATGCTCAGATGTGCACAGTGAACAGATGGGCAGGGCACTACACATCTTTCCCATGGCCATCCACATCTAGTACATGCCTGGCAGACAGTATTGGTGAGGAACTGGAGCAGCTCCCACACAGCTGAGAAACATCACTGGTCCCCAAGCCCCCAGGATGCAGAAGCCCTCCACATGTAGCCACTTTGGTGACATTTCTGCCCAGGCAAGTGGCCCCAGTGCTGAGCCCTGCTGTGGGAAGGGGATCTGTACACCTGTTAGCAGCTAAGATTTCCTTCCAGCATTGAGGGCTCATCTTACCCACGCAGGCATGTGGCTTGAGCAGATTACAGCTAATGAACTGGGAGCAGAGAACCCTGGAAGGACCATTGAGGTCTGAGCTTGGATGGATGAACTCAGCCCGCGTCTGAGCCTGACACTGCATGCAGCCACATTTCCTGTCCCAGGGCACTGACTGCAGCCTGACCTCCCTAAGATACACACAGAGAGGCCACACTCATCCCCATAGCGTCCCCCATCCAGTGCTGGGATTCCCAGAAACAGTGTCCCACAGCAGAGCCTGAGGGAATTGTCCTTTCCCATGCCTCTGCAATGCACTGTGTGACTCCATGCGTGACCACGGCCTGGCTCTCGTGGCCAGCCCCGGAGGCAGCCTGAGGAGCGGCCATCTCCTCCCAGATCAGCCCTGGCAGAAGCCATGAGTCACCCTTCTTCAGCTGGGGTCATTTGCCACTCACATGGAAAATTTCTGGAGTGCATGGATGTACCTCCAGGCTGACCCACTCCCCTTTCTGCCCTGCATGCTGGAGGCAAAATGGAACTCTTAAATGGAAAGCAGCTTTAGTTTGCTGTCGTAGTTTCTTGATGAGCCTGCTCTTCTCTGAAATGATGCTCTGTTAGCACGTTTGTTTGGAACCTCCCTTAGCTCCAGCTTCACACAGTTCATACAACCAAATATGCAATCCAGACAATTTCCACATGCTCTCAGTTATTTCTTACTTATATGTGCACCTAAAACAGCATCAGTGGCCTTTTTTTGTTTCTAAGGGCTTGGAATTTCCTAATCATTCTGAGGGAGTGGTGGGAGTCATATTTTTCTTTGCTTCAACCCCAAAGTTTTGGGCTGCCTACTTGTCCTGTTAGTACCCAGAAAAAAAATATTTCAACTTGCGTCAAAGGAAGAACTTTGTTCAGCCCAAATGGATGGGTTTTCCCCCTCTCCTGGTTTGGATTTGCTAATGAAATTAGTGGGTTTTTTTTGTATGATGGCTTTTTTGTGGGCCTTTTTTGTTTATTTTTTGATTGATTGGTTGGTTGGGGTTTTTTGTTTTGGTTTCATTTTTCTTTTGTCTGGCTATTGTTCTTTCTTTATGGCCATCAGACCACAGGAAAATCTGTTATTTGAGTAACTTGCCTTCTAATTTCCTAATTCCTCTGTCTCCTCATCCATTTTGATTAACAGGCCCTTAAACATTTCCTAGTAATCACTAGGACAGTTTCAATAATACTGCACCACAAGCCAGTCAACATATGGCTGTTCACTGATGCTTTCTCATACAAAAATCACTTTGAAATGTCTCATTTAACCACTCGTAATGCATTTAATATGGATTTTATGACACTTTAAGCCAAATATTGATAGCATGTCATATTCACTTATGAATCTATTTTACCACCATAACTGCCTCATGAAAAAACTATTAAGCCCATTAGAAAAGGTCTATTTTTCCATTAGATCATGTCAGCTGGTATCAATGACATCACCACCTTTTCCAGTGTGCCCCCCATTGTCTGTACTAATAGTGCTTCTGTACTTATCAACGGGTTAACAGCTATGTGACTGGACAGCTCATCCCTTCCTAGGGAACCACTTTAATAGTGAGGACTAATCATGAAAAATTGTTAAGGTTGGAAAAGCTCTCCAAGATCAGCAAGTTCAACCTGTCACCAAGCACCTCCATCCCAACTAAACCATAGCACTGAGTGCCACGTCCGGTGATGGTGACTTCACCACTTCTCTAGGCGGCTCATTTTGATCCTTAACCACCCTTTTCAGTGAAGAAATTCTCCCTGATGTCCAGACTGAACCTCCCCTGGTGGACCTTGAGGCCATTTCCTCTTATCCTGTCAGCAGTTGCCTGGGAGAAGAGACCAAACCCCACCTGGCTCCAATCTCCTTTCAGGCAGTTGTAGCAATTGATATGGTCACCCCTGAGCCTCCTTTTCTCTAGGCTAAACACCCACAGCTCCCTCAGCTGCTCCTCACAGGACTTGTGTTCTCCAGAGCCTTTGGCACCTTCACTGTCCTCTGGACCTATTCTAGCACCTCAGTGTCTTTCTTGTAGTGAGGGGCCCAGAACCGGAAACAGCACTTGATGTGTGGCCTCACCAGTGCCCACTACAGGGGGAGCAATCCCTTCCCTGGTCCTCCTGCCACGCTATTCTTGATCCAGGCCAGGATGCCTTTGGCCTTCTTGCCCACCTGGGCCCAGCTGGCTCATGTTCACCCACTCTTGACCAGCACATCCATGTCTTTTTCTGCTGGGCAGCTTCCCAGACACTGTGCCCCATCCTGGAGCATTTCATGGGATTGCTCAAAGTGACTCAAAGGCAGGACATAGCACCTGGCCTTGTTGAGCCTCATACAGTTGGCCTTAGCTCATGGATGCAGCCTCTCCAGATCCCTCTGCAGAGACTTCCTGCCCTCCAGCAGAGCAACACTCCCATTCAACTTGATTTGTGTGACGCTGTTGAGGCAGGATGGGAATGAGGAGACTCTGAGTCAGAAGGCTGAGAGTAAAACTGATTTATTTCAAAATGCATCGCTCTTTATACAAAGCTTCATCTGGGCCAATTCCATTGGTCCTGAAGTAAAAACAACCGACACCACTGGTGCACAGTGCATGACGCACAGTGGTAGAACTTAACTATAAATGATGTGAACAACAAGAGAGATAAAGGACCTTATTTACATTATTTCCCAACAAATTCCCAGGCTTCTACCTGTTAGAAACTCTCAATTTCTCTCTTTGACTGAATCTGAGACCGACATTTGTGAACTTGCTGAGGGTGCACTCGAACACCTCTTCCACATCACAGATAAAGATATTAAACAGGACTGGGCTCAACAATGGGCCCTGGGGAACTCCACTGCTGACTGACCACATGCTGGATGTAAGTCCAGTCACCACTACTCTCTGGGCCTGTCCTTAACCCAGTCCTTAACCCTGTCCTTAATCCAGTCCTTAACCCAGTGAAAAGTGCACCAGTCCAAGTCCCAGGCTTCCAGCTTCTCCAGGAAAATGCTGTGGGAAAAATCAGAAAGCATGGCTTTCCAATTCCAGTATTATTTTATTTTTAAATGGATGGAAAAGAACCACTCTTTGTCCTGAGAGTTCTTTGGTCTACTCCTCCAAGAATCCCAGTGCAAGCCAGTTGCACTTACCTGACACTGACTGCTTGACACTCACTGGGAAATCCCCTTGAGCCAGGAGCTGTGATGTGTGGTGGTGGGACTGTGCAGCGTGACCCTGTGGGGCCCATCAATCACTGTTTGCTCACAGTCAGTGGCTGGCACACACCTCTCACTCATGGGCAGATTGCTTCACCCTAAGGTATAGAGGAGGAGGAGGCATCAATGGAGGCAGGAAGAGAGTTGGTGCATCAGAAATTAAGATGTCTTTATGTACAGTGTGCAACAAAACATTTTCTTGTGCCTTCTGCACCCTAGCATCCCAGCTGTGCAATGGCTCCTGTTCTCCAGCTTTAAAAAGCCCAACCCTTCAGTGTAAGTGAGCTGTCTTCTGCCTAGACAACCACTGCAGGATGAGAAGTTACAAGCTACAAAATGAAATCTTTCATCACTGCAGATGTAGTGGGATTTACTCTTAACCTCAAATGGACCTTTCTTGCTCCCTTCCCTCTTATCTTTACAGTGGCAGTTTAGCAAGATTAGAGGTGCCATACCACAAGGCCCATGCCAGGGAACAAAAGGTAGAGCTGTTTTGGATTGTGCAAAGCCCAGGAGACGTTTTGTCAGTGAGGTCATGGCTCAGCACGTTGCTTGCTGCTCTGGTCACAGTTTAGTTGTTGAGGTCTCTAAGGCAGCTCACAAAAGACAGCTTGGAAGCAGCAAGCATCTGTCAGTGCCTGTATCTCAAGGGTATGCCTGTTATTTAAAAGGTGACATCTTACAAGTCTGTGAATGGGGTGGCAAGAATCACGATTTCAGGCTAAAGAAACACAAAAGCAAGGACAAGCAGCTGCAGCAGAGGGCACCTTTTCAAAGGCACTGGGTGATGCCAGCTGCTGCATACAATGACTTCAGAAGAAGTAAAAGGTCTTCATGTGGCCCCAGCCTGAGGGACAATTCTAAAAGGTGCCAGGTATCCAATGGATCAGTCAGCCCTGATGTGCAGCTAGTGGAAACCTCACAAACAGGGAGAAGAGGGAAGGCTGACAGCAGTTGATCCTTGCCTGAAGTTTCTTGACCTCTGTCTTGGAGGTGACTCAGACAAATTAAATTGCAGGTGGCAAACATCTAGTGTAGCAAAAATGTGGAATTACTACAGCAGGCAAATGGGAATTACTGCAGAGACTGGTTGCACAGGACTGCATACCCTGTATAACAGACATGCATAGGCTTCTGGAAAACAGACACTGCTTGCTGAGCCCTATTTTGTCAGGACATCTCGCTATTTAAAATTTATGTTGCAGGAGTGCTGAAAATCTGGACAGACCTGAGTTTCGCTGTTCCACAGAGAAAGATTCAAGAAAAAGATAAAGAGCTGTGAGCAAAATCTATGGCACATGGTACATGGCTATATGGTGCCCTGTATCTGAAGCTCAGAGCGACAACATTCAATGCCTTATAGAAATTTCTGCTTTTCCAAAAAAAGAGGAAACAAGTGTTTCATGTTGTTACATTTTATCCTTCTGAACTTCTCAGCAAGATGCAAATGGTTGAGATTTTAGTGTCTCTCCTGAAACCAGTCTTTCTGGTACTCCAGATGCAGGCTGGATGCTAAAGACTGCAATTACTGGCTCAGCAGATAAGCCTCCAGTAAGCTGCTATCCCAAGGCACATTCATGCTTTGGTGTTTCATCTAGAAATAAGTTTTAACACAAAAGGAAAAAATATGGGCTTCTACACATGTTTTGAATCAAGCCTCCAGTGTATCCATAACTGGCTCATCTAACACAGGATCACTTGGATCACCCAGGAATCTGACCAACACTTACTGCAGCAATCCTAAATGGTCATCTACAGGGGACTTGTGGTCCTAAGGATATAATGCAAAAAATCAAAGGAGATACTCCATTGGATAACCTTATAAATGGAACCACAAAGGTACATTATGGACTTGGACTTCCTCAGATCAAGTATGTTCAGCTCCAGGACACTGTCTCTGATCACTGGAGAGACAAGCCAGCTCTAAAGACATGCATCACACTGAAAGAAACAGCAATGCTCAGTATTGTCATGGTATAAACCATGCACAAAGAGTTTTATAATCCATAAGTACAGAGGGTTTATCTTAGTTGTTCATCGTAAGAAATTTCAGTTTGTGACAAATTGCGTTTCCCCATTTTGTGAAATAATGCTGCAGTTCCAGTCAGTCCAGCTAAACCTCACCCACTGAAATCTAACATGAGATTGCCACTCAGTTTAATTTCCCTAATGGACTTGTCCCACCTGGGAAGGATTGCCAGACACAGACCCTGGGCTGTTACACAGAGCAGTAGATGGCCATCAAAACATGCCCAACATCCCATCAGCCAGGAAATCCTGCTTGTCCTCTCCTTGTATCATTGGGACAGCTGCACACCACAGCCATGCTGCCCTGTGCACTCATCTCTGCTCCGTGGGCCATGTCCTGCCCTTGTGCTGCCACCAGACACCAACTGTATTTCTCCCTGTCCTGTGAGCACCAGCATCTTGTGGTGCCTGTGAAGGGAGGGACAGGCTGAGAAGTGGGATGGAGACACACTGGCTGGGAATGGGAAAAGCTGTGGTCATGAGAGCTGGAAAGGGAAAGAATAGCCAGTGATATACAGAAGGGGCAGGAAGCTCAGTGAGAGGCCCTGAGATGAGCCATGGGAAGGAGGAGGACACAACCCACAGCATTTGGACAAAACAATCCTTGGGAACGATGTCCAGCAGCTGAGGATCTCCAGGGACATTCAGCTGTCCCTGGAGGGAGCATCTGCATGTGCTGGGTGACCTTGCTGACCTGCAAGGGAAGTCACAGTGAGCTGAAAGCAGTGTCCCAATGCTTTAGGACAGTGTAGTAGGATCTCTAAGAGAAGGATCTCTAAGAGAGTTCTCTAAGAGAACTGTGCGACATATGAGCTCCAGAATGATTCTTCAGCTCAGCAACACCCAACCGTCTTTACTGTCATCTCGTGCTTGAGATGCATAGTGGAGAATCACTTATGTCAGTGTAGGAACAGCTAAAAGTAGTGCTAATATAACAAGAATGAGAGATGAATTTCAAAATGGAGTAAGAAAACCCAGAAGCCCCTCACTGTCATTATATACTCCCACAGCTTTCAGACATGCTTTGAACAGCAAATGCTATTGCTGTTTGTTAGGCAAAGAAGCAAATTGCTTGTGACAGTGGCAGATGCCTGGAAGACTTCATATTGGAGTGACTTTTTTTTCTCCCCTCTTCCTTCAACATACCTTGCTGCTCTCTCTTTTAACCCAGTTTCCTTCAACCAAAATATATGGGGCTGAGCTGCCAGCAGGTGTGCAGATCATCTGGTAAGCCACCACATCAAACCTTTCACTGGTACAGAACAGAACGGACAGCTGTAATTTTCTAAGTCAGCATCAACAAGGCAACTCTCCCTGTCTTTTTTCAGTCTCCCCCTCAGGGTGCTGCAGTTTCTGCCACGTGCAGAGGGTCTGTCCCTTCTGATGTGGGCTTGTCCTTCTGCAGCATGATCTCTGAATAAGCACTGCAGATCTGTAAAATCTTTAAGAACTTGTTGATGAGAGACAGGCAGAAGGCTCAAGAGTGGAAACAACCAAGAGCTCAGGCTGCCATAATACCCCGATACCCTGATACTCCTTCAGATGGTGCAAAAAGTACTCCCAGCTGCAGGAGGACACATACACAGAAAAAATCTACTTGTACCTCACCAGATTAGCCGCCTAGAGACCTCTCAAACTGCAGGATCCCTGAGTTTAAGCCTTATCTTAAGAAAAAAGGTCATTTCCCTCCCTTCGAAGGAACCGTTTGAACACAGTGACGCCCTGCCTTGGTGCTCTCACCTGTCTCACACACATGCTAGCTCCCCTCATGCTCTGCCCAGCCCTGCCCCCTGAGCAATCCCTGTCCCTGCGAGTATAATGGAGTATAATGCAGAGGAAGTGGCTCACCTAAACTCTCTGAATCGCTCCGGGGGCTTTAGGGGGTGCTTACCCCTCCTGTTCTAGTAGCCAAGGGCTCCTAGAAAGGGAGCTACCTTAAAATCCGAGCTGTATTTAGAATGACAGGCGGCTGATGCAAAACAGGCTCAAAAGGCAGTTTGGAAAAGATAAATTGGGTAGAGAGAGGCCTGGTTCACCTCTCCCACGGCTGCAATAAAGTGCTTGACGTGTCCCTTCTCTGCACTTGATCACGTTCCTGCTGCCTGTGTTTCATATTATGCAACTGATTGACTTTGCAAGATGAGAGAACAGAGCGTCTCCTTGCCCCGCTCCCTGATGTGTGCTTAGTGTGTTAGACTGGAAGGACGGAGCAGAAATCAAAACAAGCCCCGAAGCTGCCTGGCTTCCCTGCTAAATGCTTGTGCTCAGATCCGTGTGCTACAGTAGTCTGAAGGCACCATCCGGAGCATGCTTCACTGGTTGGCAGAGCTGTTCTGCTGCTGATTTACTAAAATATGAATATCGATCTAATATCGATATCCAACTGAGACGGACAAATACTCTCTAACAGGTTAAAGTTAGAAAGTGTATGTTTATTGCGATGGGCAGGACAGTACGTGGAATAATTCCCTAATGCACACTGCAAAAATCACAGGTGTTACAAAGCCCAAAGCCCTTTTATTTACAGAAGTCTTGAATACAAGAAATATGAATGCATATTCATGTCCCTGTCACTTCCTCTTCTCCACTTCGTATGCTAATTGGCAAAAAGGCTATTAAGCATGCGTAGTTCTGTTCCCGGAAATGAGTCAGGGGCCCATTTTGGGGAGGGGTCTCCAAAATGAGGAAGTAAAATAAGTCGTCCTCGTTCTGACCTGTCTACTTTTTCAACGCATACATTACAAATGAATCTTTGTAGTTTTCCTGTGTTCAATGGATTCCTCAAGTATGGGAAGTCTGCAACTGTTTTTGTGTCCCTGAAATCTGTTTATCACATTCTGTTTCTCATGATAAGCACAGCTACCCAAACATAAAGTTGACAAGAAATGAGTTAATAGATCCTGTATATCTTATTTAAGATCTGGCTACTGTTAACTATGAGCAGAGCCTATTTATCTACTTCCGCTAACTCAGCAACATCTAATTTAACTATCATCTTAAGTTTCCTAAAATTCTTAATTCTTCAAAATTAATGTCTCACTGCAGCTTCCCAGTGAGCACTGGGACACTT